CTCCCAAATGGCCAGTGTGGCTGGAGGCAGCTACCATTTCACCCAAAACCAGAGGAGTAGGTGCAAGTCAATGCAAGTAGGATAAAGTGAAGTACTGTTCCACTTCTCCCCACCCCCTAAACACCCCAGGCCTAGGGTATCAACTGTTTCCCTGAAAGAGTATGCCCTGGAGAGCGGACCATTAACTCTCTAAATACCAAACATCACTTAGGACTTCTTACTCATTTACAAGACCTGGACCCACACTGGTCACTAGGACTCAGCTACATTCCCATAAACTGCAAAGCCGGATTCCATCTTTCAGCATAATCCTCTCGTAAGAGCAAAGAAATGTCAGTATCTCTGGAAAAGTACAGCAAAGCTGTATGTGTAACTGTAATGGAGAGACAAGGGGCACTCTCCTTTTACTACCTTTGGGACTGCTCTAGTCTCTGACAGACATTCTAGAATGTCAGATCAGATTCAAGCATTATAGAATTTATCTCTAAAAGTCACACAATATAGTTCAAAGAGTCTAAAAAGTTGAAAAGTTAAATAGAAAACATTAAGAAAAAAACCCCCATTCCAGCCAAAAGATGAATCATGACTTTTATGCATATTACATGACTTTTCATTAGCAGCATTAAAAATAACTACTGTAGACCATTTGCTTATTAGACCATTTTATACTATAAAGTCTGAAATGCTACTTTTTTTTTTACTTTGGGATTAAAATTAAGGATTCTTTAAATAGTAAGTAAAAGAGTTACTAAAACAGATAATCATCAATGATGAATGATTATGAGCCCCAGGGACCTGACATCACAGCCTTCCAACTTGATCTACTGAGCACTTACTGCATCCTTAATATAAAGATGTAAGGCAGAATGGAAAACTGGAAAGAAAACAGGCTCCTAGGCCTTAAATATTTTAATATTAGCACTGCTACACAGCCGTGCAACCTTGAGCCAACTACTTAACGTCTTTGAGCCTTGGTTTTCTTATCTGTAAAGTGGAGATACCACCTCCTACTTCACAGGACTATAGAAGCAAAAAAGGAGATCTCACATGTAGTGCATCTAACTATGGCCTGCACAAAGAAAACATTTAATGAATGGCAGTTTATCATCTCAATTCTCCTCATCATTGCCATCATCATGCTTAAAGCTCCAAGGACAGTGTATAATCTTCTAGTGTAATTAGATGCATACATAAATATCATACAAGGTATCAGGACTGAGTGCCAAGAGACAGAGAGTGTACAGAAGGGCACTCAAGGTCCTTCTTGATATGGCTCTTGCTGACATATCCTTACTTCTGGCCTCTTTGCACCAAACTATAGCTATAATGAACTACTAAAATTCCCTGAATGCACTGTTTTTTATTTGTCTATTCTTTTGGACATACAGTAAATACTCATTATTCACAATAGTTATGCTCTGGAAAGTTGCAGCAAACATTGAATTAGTGAATACTGAACCACTGCTCCTAAGAGAAATATAGGGTTAGGTTCTTGAGAGCTGTTTGGTCACATTTTTGTCAACTGGTCATTGTAATACATAACCTTGTTTTATAGCTGTTTCTGTTTCAAGATATCTTATTAATTAAATATATATTGCTAAACTCATGCCTGAAGCTTATCTAACACATGTATTTTCTCTGTAAGACACATCACAGCCTCGGGACGCCTGGGTGGCTCAGTTGGTTAAGCATCTGCCTTCGGCTCAGGTCATGATCCCCGTGTCCTGGGATAGTCCTGCATGGGCTCCCTGTTCAGCAGAGAGTCTGCTTCCCACTGCTTGTGTGCGCTCATGCGCTCTGACCAAAAAAAAAAAAAAAAAAAAAAAAAAAGACACATCACAGCCTTCTTGCATTTAGGAGTACTAGACAGTACTTCAGCACTATACTAGGGGGACATTACAAGCAGTGCAATCACCAAAAAGCCCCCAGGAAGTGTGAAAACATGGCAATAAATATCATTCAAAAAGGAAAGCTGTTTACAGTATGAGAGCTGAAACAAGGCAGAATGTCACCTTGTTTGACATCAACTGGAAACACCTGGTTGGGTGACTCAAATATTCTGCCACTGTATACCAGTTGGTGAAGGACTACAAAAGCACCACAAGTATAGATATTGGGGTTACAAACAAATTTTAACAAGTAGGCGAATTCACAAATACGGAATCTGCAAATGAGGATCAACTCTACTAATGTTTTACCTAGGACGCCCTTCTCTTTCTTCAGAATTCACCTGGCCAACTCTTATGTGCCCTTCAGGACTCAGCTTAAGATGTGAGAAGCCTTGCCTGGCCCCAGCCATTCTGGTTAGATAAATCCTTAAAAATGCCCCCCTAGCTTCTGGACCTGCTTATTTGCTCATCAGGCTGTTTTACAATTGTTTACTTTTCTGTCTCCTCCGTTTGGCTGTAAGAGCTTTGGGGGCAGGAATCATCGTTTTTGGTTTTGAATCCAAGGCCTAATTCTATAAAAGCAGCTCATTAAACATTTGTTGAATTAACAGTCTTCAAGGAAGGGGGAGGACACTCCCTAAACTGGTTGAGAATGGCTATGGGTATGAAATCAGAGGTTTCATGAATAAAACAGCAAAGTGAGTGAAATTTTTAACTATTAGTTTAAAGGCTTTCAATGCAAAATTTGATTTTAACTTATTTCAAACTAATGGCTTTTTTTTTTCAGGTAGCATTAACTTCAACTCACATTGTGATAAGGACAGTTCTTGTTAAGTGATCTGATCCATTTTCTTATTAAGCCACTTTGAATTGCTTTTTAAAAAATAATTTGCCAATAAGAGCATCTTAACTGACAGTTACCCTTAGACATAAAAACATAGAAATTAAATACCAATTTTATTTTTATAGCTATTCTGATTTAGGACAAGTGCCTTTTACGTCAGATATGCATAACATTAATTTTAGAAAATCACTCGGAGACCAATGAGCTCCCCTTGGACCAACATAAAGCTCACTTCACTACACCATCCTCCTGCGCAGTCACTCCCCTCATCTCTGAAGATCTACGGAGACTAAAATGGAAAGGGTTTCAATTCAATCTCTCCCTGCTTTATATATGAAGCCCTGGGGCTGGAGTAAACTTTTCCTGCATACCTGCCTTCCCAGGTCCTTCTTGCATTAAAAATAAGAGCCAAGCCAAGAACAAAATGATTCTTTTGTTGCTAAATTCCTGGTTAAAGAGGATTCAAAAGCCAAAATATGTAGCAAAGATTTGAAAACCTGTATGTCCTCTCACACTGAATACCAATTTCCCCTTTTGATTCTTCCCACAATGCTGATTTACATGAATGAGATGAGAAAGACCTAACATTGACTCTTCATCTTGAAAGATTTCATCCCCACCTCAGAACAGCCATCTCCATGACAGACTCTCCCAATGGAATCCACAGTTTGCCCCAGTGAGAGATGCTAATGAACTACTCAGTGCTTCACTGTGGTCTATTTTCACTTGATATAATCTCTGACCAAACTGCTAATTTGCTCTGTCAATAAAAGCAAGGCCACAATTTATCCTATTCTTCTTACAAAAGGGAGTGAGTACTGGCTTTTCCCTAATTACTGAGAGTCCAAAGATAAATGATAACGAGCAAATACTGGGTGCTATAGCCCATCAGTTATTTCATCAGTAATTTAAAAAAGTGAAATAGAACTAAGGGGAAATATCATAAAGCATACTAAGGGTAAATTATGGTTTTCAGAAACTTTTATTTTAGTTACACATATATGTATGTAGGGATGTGTTTAGTGGGTAGTGACATAAAACATTTCTTTTTGTGGGTTTTGGGCAAAATCTGAAAGCCACTGTTGCAGCCCCTGATCCCTGATCTTAAGTGCTGACCTGCCCCGCCGCCCCCACCTCCACTCCCCCACTGCTGCTGAGAGCTGACGGTAGCTTTGGAAATGTGTGTAAGCACTTGTATTCGGGCACAGTGCTCCCTGCCAGTGGCTGATTCTGAACTTTGGGACTCCATTCTGAAGAAGAGAATATCTGCTTAGCCCCACGAAAATGGTGTATCTATTTTTTTAAAGATTGATTGATTTGCCAGAGAGAGAGAGTGAGAGAACACAAGCAGGGGGAGCGGCAGAGGGAGAGGGAGAAGCAGGCCCCCCGCTGAGCAGGGAGCCCAATGCCAATGCGGGGCTCGATCCCAGGACCCTGGGATCATGACCTGAGCCGAAGGCAGACGCTTAACTGAGCCACCCAGGTGCCTGGAGGTTTATCTGTTTTTAAGCACTCTGCAGGTGTAGCATTCATTTGGTACTTGAGTCTTCTTGCCAGTGCACGTCTTTTCTAACTAAACCTCAAAAACGGAGGACAGAGGCTACAGCACCTAGTGACAACTCTAGCACCTTATACACAGGAGATGCTCAATTAACATCCTTTGCATGAGCCCTTTCCCTCTGGCAGAATCCCTCTTTTGGAATCAAGGCCTACTGAGATCTGGCCAACTTAGGGACTGAAAAAGTTTTTGCTCTAGGCTTGCTTGCCTGGCCAAGGTATTTCACCAACTCTGCTACCTCCTCCTGTGCTAGTCTAGAGTAACTATCATTAGCTACAGATGGTTTACAGATTAGTTTTACTACAGTGTACAGCACTACAGCCAAGGCTGCATCTGTAAGTTTATGAACTCTATTAAACAAAGTAAGCTCTCATTATCTTATATAAGTAGACTACCCATTTTTCTTCGAGGTTAGACTTTATTTGATACTTACACTGCTCCTTAGGAAAAACTGACTCAAGAATTTCCAACTCCCTACAAACTACTCTACTTGATAAAACTGTTCTTTGCAGAAAGGGCTAACACCTTATATATTTGGTAAATGCATACTATTACCCATTTTACCTGACCTTAATGTGCTGGGATCACAGTATGCAAAACGTCTCAAAAAGTAAAACAATCAGAGGTGAGTGCTCTATACCTATAAATTCATACTAAACAAAACTAAACATTCCCAGCTTACACAGAAATAAAATCACACATTTGCTACCTGCTTATTCATTTCTGTGATGTTTATCCAGACTTTGTTCAAGCCCAGCTCCCCAGATTCAATCTTCTCGAGTTGTTTTTGTTCGCTGAGTAGTTCTTCATTAAGTTTGGGAATTTCTTGGAATGAACTTTTCTGATTAGATTCCACTAAAAGCAAAAATAAGAATAATAATAAATAACCACAGAGTACTCCCTTGATTCCAAGATGAAAAAATGATCTTACAGTAGGAAGGAAGACAGGTTAATAGAAGTCAATCCTGGTAGGATGACTGAATTCCTATCTACCAGCTACACTGTTTTTTCAAATTTATGTAAATATATAATTTTAATACTAAAGCACCATTTTTTTTTTTTTAAAGATTTTATTTATTTATTTATTTGAGACAGAGAGAATGAGAGACAGAGAGCATGAGAGGGAGGAGGGTCAGAGGGAGAAGCAGACTCCCCGCCGAGCAGGGAGCCCGATGCGGGACTCGATCCCGGGACTCCAGGATCATGACCTGAGCCGAAGGCAGTCACTTAACCGACTGAGCCACCCAGGCGCCCCCTAAAGCACCATTTTAACTGGGGCTATTTCACTACTGGGGGTACAACCTTTTAAAAGTCAGATGGCTAAAAATGACAACAAAGTATCAGCAGAAAGAGTTGGACTCTGTAATTTACTGTGATCCTGAGTAAATTACTCCAATTCTTTGAGCTCAGTTGCCTCATCTGTATTACAGAGATAAAATACACTTCACAGGATTTTTAGAATTAAGTGGAAAGAATGGTTGTAAAGTACAAAACAGGGCTAAGCAGGCATACAACAAGTGATAAATAAATATAAGTATTAACCAGAGCAATTAAGGAGCTTTGTGATTAGTCAGTGAAGATTTATAAACCTTACTCCATTAATGCTCAAGGTGATGTCCAAAGTTACCCTAAATGATTAAATCTAACTTTTTTTCTCTCTCAAACTGGTAAAATGCAAGATGGGTTCTTAACCACCTTTCAAGTGCTATTATGAGGATTACGATTTTAAATTTTTTTCATAAACAGCAAACAGTGTTTTCTTAGATCTTAAATCAACCCAAAAGCTCAAAGTGAAATAGAAGATAAAGGAACATGTTAGGTGAAGTGTAGGCTGATATTTGGCTTTCCTTTGGAAAACAGTATCTCCTGACTGGTTTAGAGATTTGCCAGCCTGAAGGCAGAGGCCTGAAAGAGTGCTTTCTCCTCTGTCTTTAAAAAGTATTTTTCCTTTTTATGAAAAATAAAATATTGATCATGGCTGGTCCTCCAGAATAAAGCCCACATCATTTTTTTTAAAGCTACAGATTGCCCGATTAGTTGTTATATACTTTCTTTAAAACCAAAAAAAACTGGCATACAGGACAGATACAAAACAACTGACTAAAATTTAAGTGCCATGATTTTTTTTGTTCCTCTCTGTGGGGTCAGCATTTGGAATACACCTGGCCATTTTAGGCACTCGGTAAGTATCACTGACTGCATGCTCCCAACCACATTTCTCATCACTTTACCTTCCTGTTCGATCTGTTTTCTGGTAAAGTGGATTCTCCAGACACACCAACCTTTTTAAGTCTCAGTGACTCTATACACACTATTCTTTCTGCCTAGATGTCCTTGGCTTGCCCCTTCTCCATTTCTGTTACCTTAGCCTAGTTAGTTTCTTTTAAGATTCACCACAAATAGCTGGGCTCCCAGGTTGGACGCCCACCACCACTTCACCATTCCAAACTCTATCTAGCACTTAACACACTGTGCTGTAACTATTTACTCATGTGTCTCCTTTAGCAGACTAAGAGAGAGAAAGAGCTGCTTAAGGATAAGGACCAGAACTTATTTGTCATGTATTTCCAGGGCCCAGCACAGTGCCAGGTATACAGAAGCACTCCAATGCCTTTCCAGGGAAATAATTGTAGGGTATGAAATGGAGTTAATGTTGTCCTATTAAGTTAAACAAAGAAAATTCAATCAAACAAACTCAACAACAAAAAACCCCAGCAAAAATCAGGGGCGGGGTGGTGAAGGATCCCTGCCAGAAACAAGCCCACTCTCTCAAAATTCAGATTTTTTTGTTTTTTAAGATTTTATTTATTTATTTGACAGACAGAGACACAGTGAGAGAAGGAACACAAGCAGGGGGAGTGGGAGAGGGAGAAGCAGGCTTCCCGCTGAGCAGAGACACCAATGTGGGGCTCGATCCCAGGACCCCGGGATCATGACCTGAGCCAAAGGCAGATGCTTAACGACTGAGCCATCCAGGTACCCCCAGATTTATTTAAAAAAATATATTTTTATTAATTTTTCAAAAATATGCACGAAAGGATTTCTTTATAAATGAAAGATTTCCCTCAGTGCTTTTAATGCAACATTTGGTTTACACTGGTTTGCAGGAATTTTGTCAGTATAAATTAATACTGTAAGAGTAAGAAAAGAAAGAAAAGAAAAATGATTTTCTTTTACATTTTCAGTGAGGTTGTAAAGTAAAACTTATCCCACACATCTGCCATTCTCAGGTGGTCAAATGTCCCAAGTGGGGGGTGGGGGTGGGGGTCTCTGTCCCACGGTCTAGACGAAAGAAATAGAAGGTAGAAGTAGAAGAGGAAATAAGACAAATACATAAATAACCTGGGTTGCAGTTATTAACTAACAACATATTAAGCTGACAAGTCCTGAAAACCCTCTGGATACTTAGGATTGTATGAGCCAAGAGAGGATCATTTTCATTACATGACTTGGGGCTTTTTAGGAGAGAGTAGCCTAGTCAAGGCACTTTGGCTACATAAATGGGAGGAAGTGCAGCAAACAACTTATTATAATTTATGTTCTTTCAACATGGAAAGCAACTCATTTACAATCTAGTGTATTAATACTCAAAAGAACTTACCTAGTTCTTTTCCTGATCTCTAAGACCAGGAAGTAGAGATTTCTGCATACACTCTTTAGACAGAACACATATAATGCTAACAGCAATATTTTAAACTTAAACGTCTTTAGTTTGCATAAACTTTTATGTAATCATTCAACTATTGAGTCCCTATCATGTGCCCAGCCCTGCACTCAGCACTAGTGCACGCTGAAGACCCTGAGGCGCTCAGTCTGGGGGGGGGGGGGGGCGCGGGGGGCAAGGTGTCACCACGGAATTACTACGCAGTGGGATGGATGGTATGACAGAGAGATGCCCAAAGTGCTCTGGTAGCATAAATATGTCTTTGGGTTTTATGGATGGGAAAATGAAGGCTCAAAAAGAAGAAGTGATTTAACCACATTTTACAGTTAGTAATGAGCAACCCAGGATTCGACAAACATTCTGCTCTTAGGACCAGCACTCTCTCTAGTATACTCCAGCTGTCAGCCACTTACACCCTAATGCCCTCATTACCACAATTTTTAAGTTCTGTACTAAATGACCAACTGCTACCCTGCCTGTGTGACCGAAAAGGAAACAGCCTGATTTATTCTTTCCTTCTCTTCTAAATTCTCTTCCCCCACTCTAGCGTTTCATTGTTGAGTGACAGGGAGAGATGGCTGAGAACAGAATCTTCCTTAGAATAATTGTGGAGGTCTTCGGAAGTACCTGGTTCTGGAAAGAATACTAAGTTTCAAGACCAGTGAATACCTGCAGCTTAAGGATCAAGTTGTTCCTTGACCACAAGGAAAAATACCAAGTCTATCTGTTTTGCTTTCTATTTCAGATATTCCAGCAATCCTGCCTCCTTTCCTGACAAGTGTCTTTGAAAATTTGAAATAAAGAACAAGGGCTCTGAATTTCTCAAAAAGGTATTAAAGCCAGACCAGCAGGTGGTCTTCTTTGAATCCATGACTTCACTGTCCTCTTGAAAAACAACAAATAAAAATAAACTTACTGAAATATATCTAAAGTAGAAATGTAATTCAAAGAAAGACTATTTAAGCTTAACAAGACTGACCTCATTTACTCAAGATGATGGTTTTCACACAAAGCTATTGGACAAGTGGTCCACAGTGGTTCAGCCAATGGACTGACTATGCCCCAGGCTCCACCCCCTTGAAATCCTGCTTTAGACATTACAGGGCTGGCATTTCTATTGCAGCAAACGAAAGATGACAAAGCAGCTGGACTGACAATTCCAAATCTGCTTCATTCAGCTAGATGACAAATGTAATCAGGATCCCAGGGGCCTGTTGCTCAGTGGTAGAAAGCAGGTCTCACAGTTCAGGGTACAAGTCCTGGCATCTCCTGAATATAGTGTTTCCAGGGATTGGTATTAACGAGTATTCAACAAATATTTGTCGACTGATTGACTGCCAGGTCTATTACCTGTATACACTTCAAATATACATTTCTAAAAAAAGAAATTCCCTGAAAAGCTCAGCCAAGGTATAAATTACATGGGTGTCCTGTAAACACAGGCACAGAGCAGTCAGGGAAAGGAATCCCTGGAGTGTAGAAGTGAGCAAAGTTTTGAAATGTATAAATAAATAATTGCTATATGTGATCAAAACAAGCTGTAGCACAAACCTAGGAGGCCCAATTAATTACAGAGAGATGAGGGCACAGACAGGTGTCTTTAGTGATTATTTATAGTTAAACACTGTTTCTGAGAACCTCATTTCCAAGTATGATTACCACTTACAAAGAAAACATGGCCTTAAAAACATTTTGCAATACTGGTATGGACAACCATTAAGGAAGAAAATTAACTAGAATACAAAATCTCATTCTTTCTTATACTGTACTCTGATTCCACCAGTTGATTAAACATATAAGTCAAGATGATTCTGGCAGAGAATTGTGCTTTACCCTACTCCTTTCCTTGAATCAGAAGAAAACATTTTTTTCAAGCAACATTACTAAGAACATCATTAACACAGCAACTAAGGATTAGCTGTCCCTAGGTCAGGTTCAGAACTTGAATAACTGCAGGCAGCAAAGAGAAGCTGGGGTGAAGGAAGGCCTGGAAGTTGTGATCTCCTAAGGCTTAAGATGGGAAGTGAGGACACAACTTTAATTCCAGTTCTGGGGCCAGATTTTGTTGACCTTGAGAAAGCCTAGTGGTCAGTTTCCCCATGTGTTAATGCTGCTAAACTTAAGGCATTTGTGATTAACTTGAAACTGGTTCTTTAGCTTAGAAAATTAACCCTTGTGGGCGCCTGGGTGGCTCAGTTGGTTAAGCGACTGCCTTCGGCTCAGGTCATGATCCTGGAGTCCCGGGATCGAGTCCCCCATCGGGCTCCCTGTTCAGCAGGGAGTCTGCTTCTCCCTCTACCCTCCCCCCTCTCATGCTCTATCTCATTCTCTCTCAAATAAATAAATAAAATCTTAAAAAAAAAAAAAAGAAAATTAACCCTTGAAACCTAGAACCAAAGATCGGTTTGCTAAAGGAAGATAGGTCAAATGTGGCTGAAGCTACTCTGCAAACACACCTTTCAGATGAAGTACCTTGAATGTGGCAAAATACAACTTTGTAATTTAGAAACTATAAAACTCCTCAACTTAAAAAGTCTCTTAAGCTTTAAAACTCACGAGACAAATATTTATTTGTCATTTGGTACACAGTAAGCACCCCATAAATGCTAGCTATTATTATTGTCCATTCCATACGTTTTTCTTAAGCAGGAAGTTGTTTGACAGACACTCCCACATTGTTTCTCAAATGGCCCTGTGAGGAGGAAGGAAACAGCCCAATGTTGCTATTGCCATTTTATACTTGGGGAAGTATACTTGGGGAAGTATAAAGTGGCAACAGGTGGAGGTTAACCAAGGTTCTAGAATCCTGGACCTTAGCACTTCCTTTCTGCACCTTAGGTGTTGACCGCAATGCCATTATTTCAGATGCTATTTGTCCTGATGGTGCATAAGCACTGTTTTTTGTTTGTAGGTTTAAAAACTAGCAAACAAACAACTGTTCCCATATTCAAGCTGACAGCTAAGAAAGAGTATAAGAAGGCTGGAAGGAATATATAATTGCTTCATCAGAGTGGGCAAAACTATTCAGCGTGGTCCACTTTGTGGACCTAGAACCTGGAAACAAGATAACACTCTGAAAAGGGCAACCACTTACTTGTTCTAAATTTTTCCTTGAGGGCATCCAGATCCTCCTTCAGGGCAACTTGCATCCACACCAAGCCAACGCAGGCCACAACACAGGCGGCAAGGATGACAAAAGCACAGAGGGGATAACAGATCTTGCAGCATCGTAAATAGTCTCCCCTGATCATAAGAACAAATTCAACCAGGAGTACAAGAGTGATTATGAGTACAGCTGTATTAGAAATAGCATACATGTGTCACCATATAGCTATTTACAAGGGAACACTGGGTACCACATTCTTAAATCTGAAGAGCAGACTGCAAGTGACTAAATAACATGACCCATGAAGAGCTCATCTTTTGGATACAAAGGTTTCAAACTTCACATGAGAGAGAAAGAGGTCTTGTGGGCATTGCAGCCCACAACCGTCATCATGGATTCAGGTCTTTGGGGACAAGTTCAGGTTAGGAAAGTGTCAAGACCAGATCTTCTCTGCAATAAATTACAGCACTGTAATTTACCTATCTATTTCTTTCTTTCCAACATGGATCCCCTCTGGGGGAGCCTGTTTCAGATTACTGAAACTTCATAAACTTTTGAGCAAGTTTTACTGCAAATGAATGAAAGAAATAGGAACTGTAGGTTTAAGTGGACACCTGGTGCACTCTAGCTTATTGGTTTAGAAGGCAGGAAACACGGAAAGGGGTTAGATTTCACACCAAACTTCAACTAGCACTCAAGGTCTAAACTAACTCAACAGGGCAACTATCCCAGTGGAACTGTTCCATTTCATCAGACCTTCATATCCCAAATCTAAGATTGCCCTTAACTACTTAACCTGACAAAGCTCATTAGAAACCAAACTCTTCCGTTAACAAAATAAAAGAACAAAGACACTCTAAACAAAGAAAAAAACCTCAAAGCATTTAATCTCTTTCAGCACCCCAACCTTCTGCCTAGCCCTTGCTTCCACATCCTCAGCACAATATTTTCTTTCAGTGTGCTCCCTGAGAGGGTCCAACCTTCAAGATTCCCTTCAGCCTTCTGCCCCCCTGGGCCCCAATTCCCAATGTCCTCAAAGCTCACTACTGGATTTGCCTAGTGGCTGCATCATCTAAAAGTGGTTTGGGAAGAAGTTGCCTCTTCTTTTTGTTTCCTACCCTCCACGTACTCTCGAGGCTCATACTTTTGTAAGTTCCTCACCATATCCCCTCACCTTCAAGATCTGGACTGCAAAGAATAACCTGAAGTCTTAAAGTCCCTGTCTCTACTACACTTTTAAAAAAGGTCTAGTCCCAAAAGTTTCTTTGCTCCCAGGTACCTCTTCTTAGCTTTTCTGCCACCCCCAACTTGGGTCTCTCTGGGCTCTTGGCACATTCCCGTCAGTATCTCCACCCTAGATTCAGAGTTCTTCCTACACTTACAGACAGATCTCTAACTTATCCTTCATTCAGAACCCGAGCTCATCACCCTAACATCTTTTCTTTCTGTTTGCCGTCCAAGGTCTACACCCTTTTTCCTTTCTAAGTACACCCTTCTCCTTCCTTTCAATTTTCCCCCTTGGTAGTATAAGGAAATGCCTTTTCCCCCATGCCACCCCTCACCACTGCATCACTCACTTGACAAAACGAGAGCGATTTTCAACTAAACCGAATTCCTCTTCCTCCTCGGAGCTGGATTCAGAGTCTGAGTCAGGAGGCTCAGTGCGAAGGAGGCGGTGGCCTGAGCCTTTCTTGGGCTTCTTTCTCCGACTGTCCCCAGCCAAGCCGATCAATGCATTGAGCTCTTTGCGCTTCTTCATCTTTTTGTGTGGGGTGAGTGGTGCACCCACTCCTGAGCTGCCAGGGTCGTACCCGATGCCCAATTCTCTTGCTACCTTGGAGCTGCCTTCCAGGGTGGGGAATTTGGGCCAGAGCCCTGGGTCAGTCCCACCCAGGGGTGGGACTGACCAGATCCACTGGGGGCTAGAGATTGGAGCCCAGAGGAAAGTGGAACTCAGATGGGTGGGGGAAGTCACACAGAGATGGCCAGGCAGCTGGTGATAAAAATGGGTAAGGCTCTGGGCATGGAGTCTCAGATAAGAGGGTGGTAAGGGGAGCAACCTTTATCTTCCGATAGGTATGTAATATTTCTAAGTGTGCTCCAGGAGCTGAGGAAAGACACACCGATGGGTGTTTTGGCCTTCCGGGGGACTTCCAGTAGAGAGCGAAAAGAAACTTGTTCTTGAATGGGAGAAAAGGGGGAGGTGAAGAGCTAGACAGTGAGAACGCGCTAGTCGCTCCCTAGCTGGAGAGGCGGCAGCAGAAGGGGGCTCGCAGCCGCTGCAACCCCGACACAGCTTGGGCGCCAAGAAAATGACGGGGTCTTAGGGTGATCACCGTTCTTCGGCCTCCGCCTTGAGTTTGAAGGGGGCCCGAGACTGAGGAAGGCCTAGAGCACGGCTCGGAGGGCTCAGCCTGCCAAGTGCCAGTTCCGCACCTGGGAGACCCCAGCCTTGCTGTCTGGGCCTGGGGGGTAGGGCGGTGCGGAGGGGCGACGGCGGCTCAGCCCACCTGAAGCGCTCCCGCCCAGAGTTTGAGGTGTTCTGGCAACTCTCGGCAACTCACACGCGCCGCCTCCACTCCAGCCGCGACTCCAGCCCCCGCTCCGGCTGCAACCGCAGCTGCTCCCAACTTGCTGGTGGTGGTGGCGGCGGCAGCGGCCGCGGGCTCCAAACCCGGGCCATCGCTCCAGCCCCAGCTCACTTCCTCTTTGGCAGCAGCCGCCGGCACCGCCTGCCAGTAAGCCGCGCTTCCATTGGCCATTTGCCGGGTGACGTCACACCAGGGGGCGCGAGTGGCGGCGGGAGGCGGGGCGTTAAAGGTGCCGTGGCTCCGGCGGGGGGCTGGGTCTCGCCTACCAGTTGAGGAAGCCCCGCCCCCAGGAAGGCCACCTGGGAGCAGCGGCTCACCTGGCCCGGGGCGGAGTTTTCTTTCGCGAGGAGCAGGGGTACTGGCAGGCAAAACACCCAGCTGCTCGACATGCTTGGAAAGTTCCTTGGAAAGATCCTCCTTGTGATCTGGGCTGACACAGCCTAGAAGCTCCGCCCTTCTGACTCGCTTGCTGTTTATGAAAAGTTTAGGCGTGGTACAGATTAATGGCCGAATTGAATACATTCATTCATTCCATAAATATTTATTGAGAGCTTACTACTTGTCAGGAGCAGCTCTGACACTGAGGACATAGCGATGAACTAAATAACCATCCGCTTTTCTGCGTAGGATTGCCAGATTAAAAAAAAAAAAATACAGGACACCAGGAAAACTTGAATTTCAGATCAACAACGAATTTTTTTTCAAAGTATAAGTATATCCCATGCAACATCTGGGACATCTTCATAATGAAAAGTTAATTCTTTTTTTAATCTAAAATTCAAGTTTAACTGGGTGTCCCGTATTTTATTTTATTTTTAAGATTTTATTTATTTATTCATGAGAGACAGAGAGAGAGAGAGAGGCAGAGAGAGAAGCAGGCTCCCAAGGAGCAGGGAGCCCGATGCGGGACTCGATCCCAGGACCCTGGGATCATGACCTGAGCCGAAGGCAGACGCTTAACCATCTGAGCCACCCAGGTGCCCTGGGTGTCCCGTATTTTATCTGTCAACCCCATTTCTGCAGCTTATACTTTAGTGGGAGGAGAGCAACAATAGGCAAATACATCAAATGTCAGGAGGTGATGAATGTTATGAGGAAAATTGAAATATGATAAGGGGATAGGGAGTGGCTCATGATAAGGGGACGTTTGGTCAGATACCAGGAGGAAGGCAGGGAAGGAGTTGTGTAATGGCCTTGAGGAAGAAGTGACCTGGAAGATCTGGTGTGGCCGGACCTGAAGAACAAAGAGGAGAGTGGTAGGAAATAAGGACAGACAAGCATCAGGGGCCAGATCTTGTGGGGCTTTATGGACGATAGACCATAGGCCAAGACTTGGGGAAACCATTGGTGCTTAAAGCTATGTCAAAATTTCAGAAATAACAGGGCACCTGGGTGGTTCAGTCGTTAAGCATCTGCCTTCGGCTCAGGTCATGATTCCAGGGTCCTGGGGTTGAGTCCCGCATGGGGCTCCCTGCTCAGTAGGAAGCCTGCTTCTCCCTCTCCCACTCCCCCTGTTTGTGTTCCTGCTCTCGCTATCTTACTCTCTGTCAAATAAATAAATAAAATCTTTAAAAAAATTTTTTCAGAAATAACAGAAGTAAAACCAACGGATCATAGAGGTAGTAATTAGTAAAAGTGTATTGTGCACACACCAAAAAGACAGTTTGCAAACTAGGAGCACTCAAACCAAATCTTGGAATTAGGCTCAGGAGTATATTGTTATAGAGAAGCTTGAATAGTGACAAAATAGTGACTGTTTATTCTTCACAGTGATTGATTATAAATATTAAAATTTTCTTGAGTGATAGGGAATTGGCCAGTGGTTACCTCCTATCAACCTTGGGAAACAGTCTTAGTTTTTTTTGCTTATGATTTCCAGAGGCACAAGCAAAATATAACCTAGATCAAGTTACCCTTGCTAACTTAAAGCTAAATGAAGCTTTGTTTGTATGTTAAACTGGCTTTGTCTGCTCAGGGAATTTTCAAGCCTGGTCTCCATTTGTTTTTTATTTTAATAATCTGCCCCCCTCGGTCATTGTCTCAGCGTGCTGAGAGTATGACCAATCAGTATAGCATTATTTTCTGTTACCACCTTTGATGTAGTCAGGCCGAAGAATCACACATTCTGTGTTTCCTCTAGTTGAGTCATCAGGCTGGAGGGCCATGTAGTTCCCATCTTCATCATTTATGTGATTATTGCTGATTTCATCCAGTTGTCTGATCCTGATGGCTACCATTTGGTATGTGAGTGGCTGCCGACAGGCATTTAAAACCCTCTAGAGTATACAACACACTAGAGAGGTTATATGATGACTGTAAGGAAAACCATAACCAAGGACTGAGAAATTTCCCGGAGCAGAGATTCCCAGGAGCGAAGATTTAACCAACTAAATAACTCAAATGGGTTATAATCAGATTCATGTTTTACTTAAGCCTATCTACATTTTTTTGAATAACGTGCAATTGGGTTTCAGTTTTTTCTGAGTTATTTATTTACATAGGTACAACATGACATATTAGCAAACGCATACCCTCATGATTAGTTAGTACAGGTTGAACTTGAGGGTGTTGTATTTCAGAAGGTGATGTTGCAGGTGAGCTTCCCCCTAAATTTGGCTTCTATTAATGTGAGCAATCAGATAATTTAATTTCTATGGAAACAAAAGAAAAACAAAGGTCAATAGCTCAAGCAAATTTTAAGTACTGTTTCTGAGTTTGGAGAGGAGCCAGTTGAGCCAGTTGAGAAAATTTCTAGACATCAGGTTTGAAGCATTTTCAGGTGGAGTGAGGGCAAACATGGCAATCAGACGAGTTTTCCTGGTTTGCAGTGTGAATGTCTCTGGTGATTTTCTGAGTGGCCACATAGGAACAGGCACAAAGATTGTCCACACATGAGCTGTTGTGTTGATCTGTCTGAAGTTTAGATCAAGTCGTCCTGCTTTAGCCGGCATGGCTTCAGGAAAAGGGCAGTTTTTGTTTCATAGTGATTCCAAGTCAAAAGAGTAGGAGAAAATTGAAAATGCTAGTCTGGAGGGTTCTGGCCAAATACTGAAGGAAAATGGAAGAATTCAGGATCCAGTATACAGATAGAAAACAAAACTTCAAAGACAACAGCACTAGAATCTGATATTCCCAAAGATGTATTACTGAAACATAATTTTTCTCTTTATAATCATCCCCATTTCTATCAAAGATAAGCACAGTAAGACTAGTTCATTTACAATTAAGTAGTTTCTATAAACTGGGCCTGATTATTTATATAAGTGCAATAATAGGGGTGCCTGGGTGGTTTGGTGAGTTAAACGTCTGTCTTCGGCTCAGGTCATGATCTCAGGGTCCTGGGATGGAGTCCTGAATTGAGCTCCCTGCTCAGCGGGGAGTCTGCTTCTCCCTCTCCCTCTGCCTTATTTTTTGACAGAGAGAGAGAGAGACAGCGAGAGAGGGGACACAAGCAGGGGGAGTGGGAGAGGTAGAAGCAGATTTCCTATGGAGCAGGGAGCCCGATGCGGGGCTTGATCCCAGGACCCTGGGATCATGACCAGAGCCGAAGGCAGACGCTTAACGACTGAGCCACCCAGGCGCCCCAGAAGAACAGATTTTTATTGAACTTATATAAATACATATTTTATCATAAAAATAAGAATATCTAATAAGAAAAAACTAATGATGTAATGTATGGTGATTAACATAACATAATAATTAAAAAAAAAGAATATCTAATAAGAGTTTCTGAATACTGGAAGGATCAGGTAGGAAGAAAAATTTCTTAACCTTTGTCACAAAGACATTTTACCAAATTGCTCTAAATTATAGATAGCATAAAAGAGAGGAGAAAAAGGGACCCTTTAATCTGGAAAATAAAACATTAAAGAACCATCAATGTTTTAAATGAAATCATAAAAATTATAATCATCTCATCAGTTCATTCTGTGTTATGTAAGTAATCCGTATTTTGCTTCATCCTGAGTTAGCAGCTTTATGAATCAATCAGTTCTCAACTGGAACTTTAGAAATTCTTACCTTATGTTGTGTTATGATCTTAAAGATGTCAGAAACCTGAATTTTAGAGTACTTGTCAGGGTCTTTTCCATAAATCTCTTTGAAGATGAAGCATTTTTGCAGGAATACTTTTGCAAAAGCATCAGAGTAAAACAATAACTGTTATAAGTGACAAAAGACCTTAAAAGATCTGGTGAGAGTTCACATGCACATACAAAGAGAGTGATGAAATTGACAACTAAATTTGGTTATTTTTGTCACATACATTTAAAAATCATGATTGATAACATTATACCAGAAAACACTAGATTTTTAGGAACTTCACACCATCTCTGGAACACTTGTGTTAACACATATAAGTAGAAGCTAAAGAAAGTTTAGCATTACTTCTTATTTTACAATGCTTCCCATGTAATTTAACATTTCAAATGACCCTAAATAAAGTAACATTTCTCTTATCACTTTATTCAGAATTTCATTGTTTCATCACGGTGAAATAATACTTAGTTATCCATTAAACCAAAGTGACAGTTAAAAGATTTAAAAAGCAAAAACATAAGTTACACAGTTGTAAAAAAAAAACAAAAAACAAAACCTTAGCTCTTTTAATAGAGAAGACTTAGGTTTTTTGTTTTTTGTTTTTAAATAATCAAAGAGTTGATAAAGACAAAACACAGAATCTTTTCTAGGCAGATTACATTGAAGGTAGGGCACCTGGGTGGCTCAGTTGGTTAAGCGACTGCCTTCAGCTCAGGTCATGATCCCAGGGTCCTGGGATCAAGTCCCGCATCGGGCTCCCTGCTCTGAGGGGAGCCTGCTTCTCCCTCTCCCACTCCCCCTGCTTGTGTTCCCTCTCTCGCTGTGTCTCTCTCTGTCAAATAAATAAATAAAATCTTAAAAAAAAAAAAAAGATTACATTGAAGGTAAAGAAAAACCTTTGTTTATAATTTTTTTATTAAGAGCAGACTAATAATCTAAGAAACCTTTGTCCTTTTAACAGAGAGAAAACTAAATTCTAATTTTGCATCAGTGTACTTTTGATATTAAAACTCTTTTTTTTTGGAACATAAATAAATCCATTTCAATCTTAATCAGCTTGACCGAAATTCTCTTCTCAAGATTTCTTTT